GCGGTGACCAAGGTATTACTGTTTGGTGTTTGTTAGTTTCGTCTGTGTGTGGGTGGGCTTTCTCCATGGTCTCCACAGTCCAAAAACACACAGGATCAGTTTAATTCACACTCTCATTGAACTGGCTGAGCTGTTACTGGCCCCCACCTGGTGACTGCTGGGATTGACTGACGCTGGAATGAAATAATTAATACTGTTTTTCCTTTTTCATGAATGTACACATATATTCTGAAGTGTAAGATTAATTTATGGCTACTTCCTTTGTCATTACAAAACCCTGACATTTACAGAGCCGCGTAGACGTTTCATACATGTAGCTACCACAATAGCGCAGCACGTGCTTAACCCAGATTTCTTTCTTCTCCTGCAAGAGGAACCTATTAGTCTCCATGCGCAGCCCTAAAGCAGAGCATCACAGGGGGGAACCCTCTACGCCTCTCCGTGCACACACACATGTGCCTCTCATTTCCTATGGCAGAGCGGGAGTATCCTTCAACATCCTATTGTAAAGTTTACCAGGGGAGAGATTGTGCGTATTAAAGTGCCCAGAGAGGAGCGCTAAATGATGTAAACGCAGGCAGCTGCTTGTTCCTTAACGCCGTACAGTAGACAAAGAGGCCCAGGCGAGGCTGGATGTGTACAGTATCTATACAAGGTTATAGGCTGCCTTTCATCTCCTCCCGCTCTCTAATTGGAACAGTATGAAGACTAATGGTATAGTTAAAGTCAGCCCGAGAAACCAAACAGAGTCATGTTCTGTTTCTGCCGCTGCAGCTTCAAACACATTTGACTGGCAGGCACGTGTGGCCGTGTGTGTGTGTGAGTGTGAGTGTGTGTGTGTGTTTATCGTGTTGCTATAAATGTGCAGTAAATTAGGTTACATGAAAATATTATCGTGTCTACGAAAAAACATTATTGACATTCAGCAGTTCTGTGGTTACACATGATTAATGTCCAAAGTCTAGCATCTTAACTCAACATGTTGCTATTTATGGGATATTTTTTTTATCAGTAGCATGTGTTTAGTAAAAGTTGTGTAAAAGTATCAGCAAGAGAAAGCATGCATTAGCATTAAATTAAAAAAGAAAAACACTACCTTGAAAGTTGGATAAAAATGCCAAGACCAGACAGACAAAATAGCTAGCGAGCTAAACTTTGCATAAAGATCCTATTTTCCTACATAAATCAGCATTCATGGCTAAACGATAGCTGAAGATAATGAGAACAAGGCTAAACGTATGATTTAAGATTGATGATTTAATATACATAAAATTAAAAGTAAGCTATATGGCTTCAAGTTAGCCAAGTTACCGGTAAAGGGAAATGGTTTCTTATAAACAATGAAGGGTTAGGATTTATTGCTATTACAATTTATTACATTTTTAACATTTTTTATTTGATATTTACCCAACAGTAGCATAAACCATGGTCCATATCATGGAAGAGTCATTGTCAAAAATGAAATGTTTTTTTTAGCAGGACAGTCCCAGGGCTGGTTCTGTGTAAATTAAAGTGACGTGCGTTTTTGACTACCCTGCCTGCAGTCTAGATCAGTCTCCAACTGAAAATATGTACACATGTCACAAATTTAAAATGATAAGAGGGTATGACCCAGCGGAGACTGTGTTGAGTGTGTTGCAGAATTCAGTTACCAAATAATTTAGCCTGATCAATAAATAATCATTACAAACTTACAGTTCACAGTCTTTAGAAAAAGTGTTAGCAAATGTTACAATTTATCTGGCAAAGGAGTTTGTGAGAAGCCAAGAGTTAAGAAACTCTTTTAATCACCGGGAAGAACGAGGAGAGTGGCGACAAACTCTCTTCACACAGCAGCAGATGCAACAACAGTGCCTTTGATGATTATTTGATCGTGTAGCGACATGCAAACTCTATTAAGCCGTCTTCAAATATGCAAAAATGATATGATTTTACAATGATTACATATTCACCATCCCAGCTGGCTGGCTGCACGGCTGCGAGCGTCTCCATTTGTCATCGACTATTGTGTCCAATTATATGATTAGCTTTGAACACTCCAGCACTTGGAGAGCTCTCGTGTGTTGTGCTGCGCCGAGCGATTCACAAACAAAGTCATTACAACATGTATTCACACATATCAAATAACAAAACAGATGGCCACTGCGCTCGCCGCCTGATTTGTTTTCCACACGAGTGGGAGGAAAAAAAGGCGCATTTTGTCTGAGCTGTGCTTAATGCTGACTGTTTTTATTCCCCAAGAAGAGCAGCTGGCTGCCGAGCGCCGTTAGATCAGCTCCTATGAAAGACAATCTTGTTTTCATTAATTTCTCTACAACAAAGGCACTTGTTGGGAAGATTTAGAATTACAGCTGCTAAAGCTTCCGGATAATTCATCACAGCGTCTTGACAGGAGACTTAATTGTTTTAAATGCCAGTCGCTGTGAGCAGCGAGGTCTGGTTTGTCTTTGATGTGGAACAGGTGGGACAGATAGATGACCCCGACATGTTTCATCTGAACTCTGACCTCCGCCGCATAAATCCAGCAGTAGAGTCCAGTGTGCGATAAAGCCATCATCTTGAGATGAGCTGCAGCTCAGAGAATTTCAGACACAGGAGTCACTCCTCGTGTTTGACGAATGTTAGCAAAAAAAAAGAAAAGAAAACATCCACGAAGAAAATTAAAGCAGCTCTAAAAAATATTTTTTCTTGTTATATGTGTTCAGTGTCATTTGTGGTACTAAAGCGAGTACTGTGTGGTTTGTGATTGAGGTCTCAAACGTCTCTTTCAGCTAACTATTGAATATTTTGGGCCTAACTTTTAGTTGAGGCTTGTAGATTGTTGTAGCAGTTCTGGCTCTTTCATTGTCTGTTATTATTTCTGTGATTTAGTTAACTCTCGAATTTTTAAGTCTGAGTTGAATTCTTAGTTCTGGCTCCATGTTTGGTGATTTTTGTGTCACAGTGGCATTTTTTTCTCTCAATGTTTGGTATGATTTTGGCAGTATCTCAGCTAATTTTGTTTACATATCATCAGTGTTTGGGGGTTGAAGCTTATATATGATGTCTAATCTTTGGTATTTATGAAAGGCTTAAGCTATTTTTTGTCAGCTCTTTGGCTACTTTGAGATTATTTTTTTACCCTACTTTTTTTGCTATATATTTAGCTAATATGGTCCATATATCAATGTTTTTTTCATTTAATTATCATGCTAATATTTCATGTATTTGGCTGCTACATTTATTTATCAAGCTATATATATATGTATATATTTGTGGTCAACTCCATCCTATTTTTGGACTTACCTTTGGTGTCCTACATTTTGCCTGTGTTCACTGATTTAAAATGCCTAAAAGAGCCTAACGTTTTTAAGGAGTCTATAACTTAGTAGATTCAATGAAATAAGATCAGACATCAAACTAAATCACTTGTTTTGTGCTAAATAAACGAGCTAAAATGTGATTGATTAGAATTGCCTTTTAATTATAGCCTCTACGAAACACATGAGAAAGAGTAGGCCCTGGGGGTATTTCCACAACATTAAATCTTAACTAAATTTCAGAGGACTGAGATTTTACCACTGACTTTTATCAGCTGGAATCTGTCAGTGAAGATGTAAGAGCGTGACAAGAAAACCCCCGGATCTTGAAACGGTTTATTTACAAAAACCTGTTTCCTACAACTGCTCCTGTAAACGTGGTTACACCACAGGCAGTGGCTGCTTTGTGTGTTTAATTGCCGGAGACACTTGGTAGTTACTCAGCTACACACTGACTCACTGTCTAATCCAGTTACCACTCTGCTGGTGTGACACAAGCACTAACTTCATTATTTTAGAAAGTGGCAAACACCAAGACGCTCCTCTGCTGAGATGATGTTTCCAAAACCTACAGAAATGAGTTCTGTTCATTTCAAGACCTAAAATAAATAAAATAAAATAAGATTATACAACTGTGTGTTTGAAGAAGACACATCCAGGAGGTTTAGTGTCCACTCACTGACACTGGAGCAGAAAAAGGTTTTCTCTCCTCGGGTTGAGGCTGCTTTAAATCTAGTAAATAGCCCGGCTGACATCTCCTGAGGATGTTACTGTAAATGCACTTCAAGTGACTGAATCATTTAACATCTAATCAATATCATTCCCATTGCACCATAAACACACTTGAGTCCGGGTTCGAGGAAGCTGTTACAATCGTGGTTAACAACCGCCTGCGCAGCACAAGAGCTGCGACATGGAAGTCAAAGCATCAAATTATTCTTGTTTTTGTTATTTCATTAGTTAAATGTGTAAACTTACATAAAGAATAAAAAGAATACGGATCCAGGAGTCTACAGAAGAGAAAACCAGCATCTATGTAGTAACGCTGAGGTGGAAACATGCAGACTAGCTGTGCCATGCTGCCATCAACTGGTCGATAGAAGTACAGCAGCCTTATTTTGTTCCACAATAAGTGCTGTGCGTTGCAGTCGTGTGTGTTCAGTAGTGTAGTTCTTCAAATATTAAATTTGTTTTTGGTGTGATCAAGACAAATACAGTACAGCAGACTCCGTGGAGGCTCAATATTAGATGATATTTACCAGAGTTCAGCGGAAATTGATAAGAGAGGGTATTTAAGATACTCAGGGGCCGAGTCCTCCATTTAACACACAAACTTGATGTATGTAGAAGCTGTTGTTTGTTTAATGTCCAGGCCAGAACCTTAAGGTCCGATATCTGCAAAATACGGGGATAATTCAGAAATTTGGAAAGACTGTCTAAAGTTTAGCAAAATAGCAGAACATACATTTTAAAAAAGTAAAGTATTACGAATTAGCAATAAGGCAGAAATTGTAAAACTTAATAGAAGTCATCACATAAGTTCCTAACATATAATACCATATCAGATACAATCTACTGAAACATACAGAAACAGGGTTAAGGGGTGAAAGGAAAAGTCAATCAAAGATAGCTTTGAAATAGCTAAAGGTTAGCCCCAGCTAGAGGAATATTACAACACAGAGAAATACAACTCAAAGCCCAAAAGTTCTAGAAGTTTACTTGAAAAACATCTCAAGGTCCAAAAATAGCTCAACGTTGCTTGAGCGTCTTCTTGCGGCCAAAATAAAAACCTGCCGAGGGCCGCATTTGGCCCCAGGGCCTTATTTTGAACGTCCCTGTTATACAGTCAGAAGTGCTGAGAAGAGTTTCAATAATTATACACAATAACAAATGAACCCCTCAGGTACCACAAGCTGTTATTATTACTATTTATTTATTAATTTTTCAGCACTTTTATTTCCACCTGCATTTGTTCCACCTGAGCCGCTGTGCGTGCTGCGTCTGGCAGAACACACACACACACACACACACACACACACAGATAAAGCTTTCTCAGTCTCATGGGTGAGTCAATCAGCTCTGAACACAGATGTTTTTGCCTCAACAGCAGCTCCTCCCATACTGTGAGTGTAAATTACAACATGCAAATTAACTGCAACTTCTCATCCTTTTGATAATAAAGTACATCCACTGATAACATATTGGCTAACATTCTGCCAGGGGCAGAAAAACAGCAACGTTGTTGTGAAAACAGTAATGTTCTAACAACCCTGGGAGAAGCTGCGTTTGTACAAACTGCCGAAAGTCACAGTTCAATCATTTTGTATATTTGACACATTGTGAGACTTGAAGGATTTCCGTTTGGCTAGACTTTAAATAATATGTAAATGAAAAGAATAGCAAGTTTGACATTAGATTATTGATTGTACTCTTTAAGCATTTCGTTTCTCTCTAATTACCAGACGATTTGATTATTTTTACAGTTAAAATACAGTATTTTAAATGTAATATATAACATATTTATTGGAAAGATATTTTATTTCATATTTATTTACCTTTTATGTGATAATCTTATCTCTTTCTGTCATTATTATTCACATGTTTATGAAGTCACAGCATCCAAATTGTATTTTTCTAATTTCACAGTTTTCACCATTAATGATTCGTTCTTTAATGCAAACTATATGTTGACCGAAATATATATATATTTTAGAAACTGTTTCTTCTATCTTATTTATTTATCCATAATATATTAAAATATAATCAGATATTATTATATGAATAAAGACAATATTCAATCTCATGATTATTATACAGTATATCTCTCATGACCAACTGTTTTTACTTCACTTCTTTATTTAAAAAAACAAAACAAATTGTGAGTAATTGTGATTTTTTTATCGTAATTTTGATTTTGTTGACGAAACGTCATAAGTTCCTTATTCATCAACTGAACCAAAAAAGGGAAACTCCACAGTTGCATTTCACAACATGTCATAAAAAGTGATGTAATTCAATCTACTTATTTCCACTAACAAACCATTCAAGAAATGACTCTAATAGGTTTGCAGAAACTGTTGTGCATCAGTCATATTTTTATGTTTTCAATATTTTTTCAACTGAACTTCCAGCCAGTATGTCTAAAAAAACTCTTTTAAAAAAGAGAGAATTATAATTTAATATTACAATGTGTCACTTTGGACATTTGAACACAAGAGGCAGTGTTGGACACAAAGGCAAGAAAATATCATTAATTTTTTTGTTGTATGTACAAAACAGTTCCATAAAGTGCAGGAACATGATTTCCTAGCACAGGGTCCTGAGAATAAGGATTGCACAGTTATACTGTCTTTACACTAGGTGTCTCTTTTGGACATTTTTGACTGCTTCATATCATTGCACTGTTTAAGTTGCTCATTGATCTGATGCTCCCACCTGTGTGTGTGTGTCTGCTCTTCCGTCTCACGCTTCGTAAATAGTTCCTGTACAGGATCACGCTGATCACCCTGTCCTGGAACTGTTTGGAAACAATGTAGTAGAGAACAATGTCCAACACGGTGCTCATGGTCATGAGGAAGGTGGTGAAAACCACGACGGTGTTGTAGCCTCCTTCTTCCACTTTTCCCAGCAGACGAAGAACCAGACACACGTGGAAAGGCACAAAGCAAACCAACATTTGGATGATTAGCGTGATTATAATCCGGATCGACTTCTGCTTCACCTTAGGTTTCAGTTTAGAGGTGCGTCCGTGCATCAGATTATCTACGATGATCACGTAGCAGCCGATCATCAAACAAATGGGCACCAGGAAGAAGAAAACAAGTCGCACAAAGTTGACAGGGTTATCAGATCGCAGGTAGACGATGTCCTGCATCTTGATGCAGGTGGTGAAGTTGGACACTTGGTCCGGGTCGTACCCAAAGAAGAGCACGGGCAAAGTGCTGCCCAAAGTCATTAGCCACACCCCCAAACACGCCACCATGGCCTTGGAGACGTTCCTCAGCTCCTTGCCATGCCTTGGCTGCACTATGGCCATGTATCTGTCGGCGCTGATCAGAGCAAAGAGCCAAAGAGCAATGCAGGGGTAGAAAATAGTGAGGGCGGCAATAATTCGACAGAAGATGTCTCCAAAGGGCCAGTAGTCCAGGTGGTGGTAGACCATCCTGAAGGGAAGAAGCAGGATGAAGGTCAGGTCGACCACAGCTACGTTGATCATGTAGACAGTGACCGACGTCTTCTTCTTGGTGGTCAGGGCGAACACCCACAGAGCTGTCAGGTTGACGATGAATCCAATAACGAAGACAAAGCAGTAGAAGATCAGGCCTGCCATCCGGTACTCCGCCGGACCCTGGTCTGGTCTCAGGGACATGTTGGACATGTTGGAGATGTTCAGGTCCAACGTCATTCTGCAACTGACAGAGACAAAATTAGAAGATTAGCATTCGGAGGACAACATGTTTGTTATCTTTAGCTCTGGTGCTAAATTTAGCTTCATTGCTTTTCTTTGAATGCAACATTTAGTAAATACTCAGCCAAACTTTAAAAATATTTACAAAATAATTTAATTTTTGCAAGCATTTTGTAAACTTTGAATATGTCGATCTTCTTTGATAGCTAGTTTTTAGCTGTCTTCCCTGTCACTGTTTATTAGCTACCGTATTTTCTGGACTATAATTCGCTTCGGAGTATAAGTCACACCACACAGCTAGAGTGCCCTCTAGTGGCTGTGAGTATGAAAATAAAGAACATTACGTAGTAAGAATTTATGGGATTAAACTCTTACCAACAGATAGCGAAAACTACCAGCTTCATTTTAGCAATTGTTGGCTAACTCTATTTTTGGTTATTTCAAGTTTAAACCTAGAAACCAAATTGTTTTTGTTTTTTATAATATTCTTTAATGTGTAAAGTTTACTCTTTTATAGTTTCTTTTATACCTAGAGTCAAAACTGTGAAGGAAACAAAAACTGCAATGTTAAAATGAACCTCCTCCCACACACAGTGTCTCATCAGTAAGTGGGATATTACAATACGACAAGATTCCACTTAACATAGAAGTGAGACTGTTTTTCCTATGATGAGCTACAGTATGTGTATGCCTGTGGTGTGTGTTAGAGAGAGAGGGGGAGAGAGAGAGAAACCACTTTTCAGAGAGAGAGGGGGAGAGAGAGAGAAATCACTTTTCCTTTCTGCCTGTTTTTTTCTCTCTACTGTACCTGTTGTGCTTCACATTAACAGAATATACAGTATTTATAAAAAGAACAACTGTGATGGATGAGAAAAGAGATACAACACTTACAATACAAAGATTAAAATAAGCACTGGGATTGAAATTAATTCAACACAGAGAACCAGTGTGTTTGATATGAACAGCTATAAACATGACAGCAAAAATAACTTTTCCCCTCTCTGTCGCTCTCTCTCTGTCTTCTTGTCTCTCTTCATCTTAAAGGTCAAATACTCATGCAGTACTTTTCCGTCTGAGCTATTAAAAAAAGGTCTTCACTTACCTGGAAATCAAACCAACATCATGTCAGATTGTTAACCCACAGCTTTGTGAAGCGGGACAGTAAATCATGTCTGCGTTTTGCTTCAACGGTCCAAGCAGGGAAGTGAGTTCTTTGCTTCTAAAGCAGTGTGATGGAGAATTTTGACGTGTGTGTGAAAAAGCCCCCAACACACTCACACTTCCTGTGTTGATTGTAGACAGAGTTTCAGTACAGTTTTAGATGCACATACTGAAAGTAAGCAGGGTTGGGGTTAGACAGTAAGAACTGAAATTACACAGACACACTTCCTGATACTTTGGATGTAGATTTCAAGTGTGTTTAGTCTGTATTTTGATTTGTCATAATTCTAAAGAAGACATTAACAAACAACCGTTGAGCAACATAAAGAAAGTTGATTTGTCATAATTCTAAAGAAGACAACCGTTGAGCAACATAAAGAAATTAACTGTGTCTGAAAGTTGGACACTGCCAAAGTAAAGAGAGTGAAGTTCCAGGTAAATCTCTGAGTTTTAAAACATCCTCATTAATCTCCTCACAGTGAAAATGGCTTTAATTTGACCTGAGAATTCTAAGACCAAAGTCCAAGTTATGCACATATTTCTGATTTTAATACCAGATTAATTAAAAAGTTACATTTTCTGACTTTTCTCTCTAATCCCAGTCTCCTTTGAGAAGATTATAAAAATGAAACACAGGACTCTGGGGAGGAGGGAAGTGAAAGCGGTCACTTTGTGGCCCATATCGTCTGCCGTACTTTTTACAGTTTCCACGTACGTAGCTGCAACACAAAAGAACTGCAGCTCTTTCCACCGTCTGCAATTACACCCCCTTAAAGAAAATGATGTGCCATTAGAAGTGGGAGTGTGTTTGGCAGGCAGAGAGATGGCAGATTTAGGGCGAGTTATTGATTGGAAAAGTGGGGTCTGTCACAGCACATTAGTTCTCAGGGGAGTAATCCACAGCAGGTTGCTGTGAGAAGCATCTGCTGCTGGAGAGAAGTAATTAAAAACAGGATGTTGAGGCAGTTGCCATATAAACAGGAAATAAGATGCTGGTAATAGACACTTCACGCTGATGCTGTGCGATGTGTGAGTGTGTGTGTGCCTGAGCGTGTGTGTTTGTCTTTCTTTAACACCACCACGTCGTCTTAATGGATGCAAAGCGCATACCTCAGGGGAACCGCTCAAGGGCAGT